AGCGCCCTACCTAAAGGCCGAAGTAGCAGCGGGCGGCCGAAGGGTGGCCCTTGGCCCTCCATTCCTGCGAGGCTTCATCCATAAAGGGGAACGTACGATCGCTAGCTTTGTTCTCTCTTCCTCCCCCTCCCCCTCTTCCTCCCCCTCTCCCTCCCTCTCTCAATCTCACTCTCTCTCTCTCTCTTTCATTGCAGCCAAAATACACAATACAAATGGAATGAGTGGGGAGGGAAGATGAACGAATCGTGTTCGGCCAGATTAAGCGTGACGCCCACCCCTGCCACCATCGCCTTTTCCAGTTTGCTTTCCCGCACAAAGAAGCAGATTCCCAGAAGGGCGAAATCTATCCACCGCCGCCGGCCGCCCGGCCGTCCAAAGGCTGCTCCGGGCTCAACACAAACAGAACGGCGGGGCCCATCAGGTGATTACTGGGGGGACGAGGAGAGAAAAGAAAGTGTGGATGGGAATCGGAGAAAATGGGGGAGCGGGGAGAGTCGCGGAGCGGCACAGAGCACCAAGCGCACCCAAGTCCGAGCCGGGAGCCACCAAAACAGGGCAGACGCACACCCAAAACTTATTCAAAGGCGTGAATAATTTTTCGAAGAGCGCGGGTGGGCGGGCCGCGGCGGGACCCGCAGAGGGAGAGGAGAGGAGGGGGAGAGGGGGAGGAGGGAGAGGGAGGGGGTGATGGGGGGAAGGAGGCAGAGGAGGGGAGAGGAGGGAGAAGGGACGGGGCATTACTGATGCACGCGGCGGGCGGGCCCGCGGCGCTACTACAGCACACATGTATGAGAATTTTAGACACGCGACCTGCTGGCGCGGGAGAGAATGGGGACGTGCCGCACGTCGTCTGCCGCACTGTCGCTCCGCTTTGCCACCCCCACCCACCACAACCCGACCCGCCCCACCCTGCCTCACCTCACCCCGCCCCGCCCCGCCCCGTGGCCCACACTAAGAACATTATTCAAAAGTGCTGGCATGTGTACTTGGGTGTGGCAAAGTGGGCGGAGAACGACGAAGCGCGACGTGGGCGAGGGCAAAGAAGTGGGGGGGGGGGGCGTTTGGAAAGTTGGCAACGAGGAGTACTTTTACAAGCTTTTCCCTTTGGATCGTTAGGGGGTGCGTGCACTGCGCGTGATGATGGCGGGTGGTGGATGGGGAGGGGGGGTGATGGTGGGGTCGAGAGTTGATGGGACGTCGTGGACCCCCCGCCGCCGCCACCGCCGCCGCGTCGCGACCCCGGTGGTGGTGGTATCCGGGCATTTGCGCGCGGAACGGGTCGCTCCGCTGCCGTCGCGGTGTCGGTCGGTGCGGGCGATCGTCGGGCGATGAGGTGGGTGGGTGGGTTCGCGGTGAAAGATTGCCAGCCCTCCCGCTCCACAACCCCAACCACCACCATCACCATCCCCTGCTCCACCACGCTCTGTCCAGCTAGTAGCCCTCCCCCCAGGCCGCCGCCGCCCGCGGGACACGGCTCTCTCTGTCGCCTGGAAATAGGATACGGAAGTGAGGGTCGTCATGGGGTAGGGCGGAGCGCAGCGCGAGCCCCCGAGGGGAGCACAATCAGCCTATACGGTGACGAGGGTGGGGGTGTGGGGCAGGGAAGGGCGAGGCCTGGGCCTGAGGCACGGGGCGCAGCAGTGGTGTGGGACACCGTGAAAAAAATGTCTTTGTTTAATACAACAATACTTTTTCATAATTAACTTACCGATTTACATTAAACGATGTGGTGAATGTACCATCGGCATCGTACATTTAAAACAGCTTTCTCAAATTATTATCCTAAGAATACCAAATTGACTTAGTGCACCTTCATAAATTTTGTAAATTTTGAAAATTTAAATCGTAACTTTGCTGGCATTCCTCAATGAAAATTATTTTCACCCCCAAATATATTTCACGGTGGAGCTGGGTTGTGTTGGAGTCGGGTCGGGTTGGGCGGCAGCGCCTTGGCGGGGGCGGTCGGTCGGGCCGCCCAGCCCAGCCAGCGCCCCCGGGGGGCCCATAGCGGGGACGGGACGCACGGCTAAATACTGACACCAGTACTGATGACGCCGTCTGTCACCACCGCCCCCAGGCCGGCGTGAGGGATGGTGCGGTGGGGGCAGGTAGGGGCAGCGCCTGACGCTCAATCAAAGTGGGACGAAGCTCGCCAACAAACAACCTTTCTCAAACGAATTTATGAGCATTTAGAGCGTTAAACAAATATACACGGGCTACAAACCGCTACAAACCGAAAAGTCGATCCTAATTTTATATTTTGCTCTTTTTAGGAGTTTTTTTTCGCGTTTACTTTATGACTAAGAGGCGCAAAGTCACACCTTTTTAACCCCCTCGTCCCC